CGTATTCACAAAGATTCTCAGAGTCCTCTCAGAGAGCTCCTAACTTAGCCTAAAAATTCCTAGCAAGGAATCTTAGCTTAAGAGTGATTCAGGAAGTTTCTGAGAGCAACTCTGAGCAAGGAGGGAACAGAAACTTTTATCTTAGTGAGGAGGTGTGGTTGACCCCGTTGCTAGGTATGACGCAGTCTTCTAAAAGCTGTGATTGGTTGTTACAAAAAGGAAAAAAGAAAAAAAAGAAATGCGCTCCTAGTAATGAATGGACAGTGAAATCAACCATCATAGAACTTAGACTGTATTAAGAAATGTGTAATCGTGAAAATAATTTTATGTCATGATGATGAAACTCAGCAAAATTAAATTAATTGTTACACAGCTTCAAAATGTTTGAACGTACCTCATTCACATGCCGACTATTATATTGATTTGCTTATTGTTATGTTTACTCGCCATGCTGGTAATTTTACTACTTAATCTATTTGATATTAATGGTGGACGCAGACTCAGCTGTCAGCAATTACTGTGATTGCTGGCCTCCTTGTAAAAAGTGGTTTGATTTGGCAGAATGACCAAAACAACAAATGAAATGGAGAAAAAAAGAACGAGAAAGCCGAACTGGACAGAAGAGCAGTGTTTGCTGTTGGCGCAGCTTGTGGAGGAGAACAAAGGAGTTTTAAGAGTGAAATTATTGCCTTACTACGCTGGGTGGGAAAAGTAAGCTCATCCCTGATGAGGTCAACCACAAACATTATCCCTGCACGATCAAGCCAGTAGCGTCTTATTAAATCACTGTCGTTCAATATACGGAGAATCTCTCTCCTTCCTCTCTGTCTTTCCGCCATCTTCTCTGTTTAAGACACTCTTAGGCTTCTTAAAAGTCCTCCTCCCTCCTCTTAACAGTTTTTCACCTTAGGAGCTCTCTTAAGGCCTAAGATGCTTTGTGAATAACTTTTATCTTACCAAGGGAAAATTCTAAGAAAAATCTTAGAATTCGAGGAATTCTAAGAATGGCGAGTTGATCTGTGGCGCCCAATTTTCCGCCTTGTAGAGTAGTCATATTGGCGGAACCCTTTAAGTTTAAACAGACCGAGGCGGCTTTCCACAACAGGAGGGGCTGTTGGAGACCTGTGGGAGGAGCTGCTGTTGACGCCGCACGTGCGAGCCACTGGCGGTGGATAAACAGGAAACAGCTGATAGCAGGAATTAGCGAGCAGCTTGTAGCAAGAGGGAGATGCAAACCTGACAGACACTGTAAAGATGAGCAACTGAAGAGACAAAGAATTGCGCGCCCTCCTTGCCCTCGCAAACGAAGAGGTCATTAACCGTCAGATGATGGGGACGGTGAAGAACTGGCCGATTTACGAGAGAATCGCTGCCTGACTATCGCCGCCACACATTTTGTTACTTGGTCACGCCCTCCATTGCCCCGAAAAAGGCACATTCTGTATAAACAAAAGTAGGCAGGCGGCATTTTGCTGTCCTCCCTGATTTTGTTTTTATACTGTCAATGCTGATTGGGCTTTCCTGCAAATCTGCACAATTCCTATCTAAAAAGGGCTTAAAAAAATCTCACAAATCAAAGTTTAGGAATAATTGGGCGTTGATAAATGTGGCAGCTGTTCTGTTCTTTGAAGCTAATTTGGTGTGTCTGGGCCTTAAATCTGTTTGCACTGATATTGCATATCCATTTTCCAAAGTCAAAGTAACATTAGGAAAAACAGCTAGAAAAGAACACTTTGCAAGATGGCTAAGCTGTTGGTTGTAGTTAGGATTGCCACATGTTCTGGTTTTCTTGGGATTGTTCTCTTTTTTTTGAGCGTCTGCCCCAGAAAATGTCTATTCTTTCTTAATTCAGAACTTCAGAGTTCCAAATAAAACCAGATTCTTCGACTGCTCTTCTGTTTTTTCTTCTTTACGATCACGTGTCTGTAAAAAGGTAAAAATGCGTAGAACACAGCGACGATTGGCCATATGTCTATACTCTTTATAACTGGTAGCAGAAGTACGGAAGTTTACCTTATCACCTAGCGACTGCTGCACAGGCTGTCACTGTCTTAAGTAGGTTATCCAATTATTTCACATTATTTTGTGTAGTTAGTAGGCTACTGTATTCCCTGCCGTGTGAGACCTTTACACTTCATAAGTGACACATCTGAGTGCAGAGAATTTTTTATTTTTAAAGCCCCTGACCAGATGTTGCAGTTAGGTTACTCTTGTGTCTCGTGCGCCTGTTGGGATGATGATTAAGATGTCTAATGTCAGTTCTGACAAATCACCGCGGGCATCTAAAGCCTGAATCGCTCTGAAATGACTTGACAAAAATAGTTTGTAAGTTTCTGTAATTTTTTAAACTTTATGATCAGTGATCAATTACTTTTTCAGGTCTGTGTGTCTGTGTCCATGGCAACCTGAATCTTCAACCGACTAAATGAAGTTATGCGCTCCTGTTTTTGTCATGGACAAAATGCTCTGCATCGTGCATGCTCTGCATCGTGCATCAAATGTCAGTTTTTCACAAATCAGATGTGGTAACCCAAATTGTAGTTTCCTTTGGCATATCTGAGACTCGACTTTTTAGGGGTTGTCTATGCAAATGTTGAAGCTATTCCAGATGCTTGGCTAGCATCTTGCTAGTGTATCTGTTGGCCTGTCACGTGATGTCAAACGGTCCCAGTTTCAGTAGTGCTGGACTCAAACTGATGTTAGATGAGAGCGAGATGTAGTCAAAAAACTATCACTAACTGTTAATGTCAGAGAATAACTGAAAATAATTAATGCTAATAAATTATGTTGGATTCTAATTTCTTAATTTATGGGCTATTTGGGATTTTTTGGGTAATGCATATATATAAATGGATTATTTGAATACTGATTGGACATTGATTACGATACCAACAATCGAAGCTTTGAAGCCTCAAAGCATTTCAATCAGCCTGACAGTTTATATTGTTTTTGGGTGAACTATTCCTTAAAGTTAAAGTTCTTCATAGTGATGAAGGCTCACAGGCAAACACTGGGTGATCCCATTAACTAATTTGAGGAATGAAAACATGTTAACTCAAAAATGGTTGTCATTTTCACATTTTAGATTTTGAAACCTAGCATTATTTTACCTTTAACATATTTACTTATTACTAATTACTAATAACAGCACAAACAGCTGGAAGGCTAACCATTAATATATCTTAATCTTCTTTTTATGTATGAAACATTTGTAGCTCAAATCTAGTCTTTATATTATGTCTTATATTATTTTTGTTTATTAAATAAAGGTTTACAATAGGAGGTAGCTATAAAGCAGAAAATGATTTTTATCTTATAAAGTCTCACTCTCACAGACCTCGTGGTTGGAGAAGAGTCGGACTCCCTCCATCTGGTGGAAGACGGGGTAGTGACTGGCATCGATCTCATCACGCCTGTAAACATCTCCAGCCAGTAAGAAGGCATCCAAGCCGGAGCTCACCAGCTCCCTCTGGTGGGCGGAGGTGTGGGCACGGAGCACCGTTTTCCTGGAACATTGACACATTTGTTTAGTGACACATTTCTGATATTAAACTAGTTTCAATGTGATGAATCAGATTGACAGATTGCCTGGTTTGGAACATGCACTTGTTGCATTCAAGTCGTTCTTCCAAACCCTGACTTATCTTCTGATTTTTCCCTTTTTAAAGTATAGCTGAACAGCTTTGAATTGACAAACAACTGAGCAGTTTTTGCTGGATAGTGTGACATATGATATGCTTGTAAAATAAATTCCTATTAAAAACCAGTGGAAAACATCTCTCCATTTCCAACCAAACCTAGACATCTCCTTAGATTTTGCACTCAGCAGCAGAACAAGTATGATTCAACAAATTGTAATTGTTTAAAGGATAAAAAACAGAAAACAAGCAGTGCAGAAAACATACATTTTTATTTACTTACTTCTCAAGTCGAAATGTTTGCTGATTTGAAGCCGACTGAAAGGTCTTGGGTCATTCTTATTCTCTCCTCACTACGTTCTAAATTCTGATTCTGACTCTGGTAAATGAACTCACTGCACACTCTACAGTTCTCTACAGAATCAAAGTACTGTACGTACTTACAATGTTGAGGTTCTTGTACTTTGAGTATTTACATTTTCTGCTACTTTATACTTCCACACCCTTATGTTTCAGTAGGAAATATATTACTTTTAACTGCACTACACTTATTCCACCGCTGTGTTTACATGTTACTTTGCAGACAGATGATGGCTGAAAACTTTTTTTTGGCTTGTGACATCTAAAAAAAACAGTGTGTAGTTTTCAGATATCTCTGAACTGTTGTAAGTTCTACCAAAGAGACATCTCCCATCTAAACCTCTCACATAGTTTCATTTAAATGGCTGTTTGAAGCCCAAAAGAATAAATTATCTAATATTTATTTTAAAATTTTTTAGAGAAAAATCCTCAAAAAATCTACATAGATTTGTTTATCAGAGCTCTTCTTCTTCTCTCCCATTAATCATGTAACAACCCCTCAGATTTATCTGGTGACCCTTTGGATCCAGTGAACTAAGCCAGCTTACTGTACACTCATTGGCCACTTTATTAGGTACACCTGTTATTATACTGCTTATTATCACAAATAGCTAATCAGCCAATCATGTGGCAGCAACTCAGTGCATTTAGGCATGTAGACATGGTCAAAACCACTCTGCCCTGTATCAGTGGTTCAGGCTGGTGGTGGTGGTTTAATGGTGTGGGAGATATATTCTTGGCTCACTTTGGGCCCCTTAGAATCAACTGAGCACTGTTTATACACCTCAGCCTACCTGAGTATTGTTGCTGACTGTGTCCATCCCTTTATGACCATGATGGCTACTTCCACCAGGAAAACGCACCATGTCACAAAACTCAAATCATCTAAAACTGGTTTCTTGAACATGACCAATGGCCTCCACAGTCACCAGATCTCAATCCAGTAGAGCACCTATGGGATGTGGTGGAACGGGAGAGTCGCATCATGGATGTGCAGCCGACAAATCTGCGCCAATTGTGTGATGCTACCATGTCAATACCGACCAAAATCTCTGACGAATGTTTCCAGCACCTTGTTGAATCTATGCCATGAAGAATTAAGGCAGTTCTGAAGGCTAAAGGGGGTCCGACCAGGTACTAGGAAGGTGTACCTAATAAAGTGGTCGGTGAGTGTACGTGAAGTGTATTGGTAGCTTCAAATGACCAAAACAGGCGTCCCTCTAAAGGAACATTCTCCTGGGCAATATGCTGCAGTTTTACAAAGAAGAAAGGGGGTAAACTAACAGACTTCTGCATCTCGGTTCATACTCATGTCATTCCTAAAGCTGACGACAATGCTCAACAGGTCCCTTCCTTAAACTTCAAAATAAAAGCATTTCCGGTTTACACTTGTAATACTGAAATATTACTATCAGTAAATAAACTATTTGTTTTCTCCCATATTAAATGTAAATAGCATGTTTTTAACATTTTATTATTTTTAAACCAAAAACGTGAATTTCATTATTTAATTTTGAACTTAACAATTGACAACATAAAGTATGAGCTACAACAGTAACATGCTGCTCCAAACTGATGATCAGTATCAACTGCCTAATAACAAGTAAAATAACACATTTATGTCTGCACAATGACGGGAAGTCAGTGATGGTGCATTGTGGGATACTTTAAGTCTTCTGTACTGTGTTTAATTCTCAGTAGACCTTCTGACAACATCACACAACGTCAGTAGGAGAACACACAAACTCCAACAAGTTTTCAAGACTTTGATTTGTTTTTGTCAAATTTCAGAAACCTGTGAGTGACATTCATCAACAGACCAGCACACTGAAAAGACAAAGAAAAGACATCACTACAGATGCATTGTGGGTGCTGAGCAGCGCCGCTCACCTGTTCAGGTAGTAGTTATCTCCTCGCTTCCTGCTGGGATGGCCAGGCGGGATCAGCAGGCTGTCAGTCATATGATATAAAAGACTCACTTCACAAATCACTGGGAGAATTCACTGACTCAAAACATGTTCAGTGAAATGTTTCAGCAACTACAAAAGAATTCTGTCTTAATAAAGACTCTCCAGATGTTCACGTCATTTCAGTGAGTTCACAAATCAAAACTCTCAGTATATTCACTCACCTCCTCTGTGAATAGAACTTTGATAGCATTTATTTCTTTCTATTTTATGTGTCTGTGAAAGCTTATGTTCAGCCTAGTCAACCAACCAATCAATCAATCAGTCAATCAATCATAAAGCTGCTGACCTGTCAAAGTTTTGCTCCACAGTAACCACCGGGCTCAGGTTGTCATGGACAGAGAAAAGTGGGTTGCCCCAGCGACCAATGTAGGCACTGTGGAGGAATGGAGAGAGCTGTGATGGCTGACAGATTAGCAGACATGCAGCGTAAACAAACAACAACAAAGACTGACACAAACAAACAGCTTCACAGAGAATCCACAACCTGAATATATCTTAAAATAGAGAGAGGCATGTAACTAACAGCCACTTAGGCCCTGGTAACACATAAAGTGTTTTAGCAGCTGAAGGCAGCTTTTTGTGATTGTTTATAATAAGTGCTTTTTGCTCACTGTTTTTGCGTTGCTATGCGCCTCATGTTTCTGCGCTCTAGGCACCTGGCATTCTTGCCAGAAGTTGAAAAAACTTCAACTCAGAGCGGAAAAGTGCCCCTCATCATCTCAGCTTTTTTCCCATTGTCAAATCAAATGAATCGAGAGGTGGGCCTTCTGGGGTGGTCTTGACAACAAGTTTACAGTTGGTAACCAATGGAGGACAAACTGATGGTAGCGGTTGCTGGATACTCAGAGCTATACCACTTCATTCATTTTTGCTATGATCAGCCCGACAGACATCTTGTCCAACTGCCCCAAAATATGCCAGGAAATGGCAATCATGGAGGCAAAGCTCCTGGACCAACTGGTGGTACTCCCCATGATCCATCCTTTTTGGCTCAGGCTTGATCTTTGGCTCAGGGGTTGTGTAAATTACTGTGCTACTGGTTTAGCAGCTAACAATGGTCTGTAGCTTGGCAGCTCATTCTTCAGCTTGGTGGTCATGAGTGCTTTGCGCTACTGAGTTAGCTGCTAATGAGAGTCTGTAGCTGCGTGGCCACTCATTCTGTACCTCAGGGGATGTTTGCGCTTTGTGCTACTGAGTTAGCTGCTAATGACTACAGCTGTGCGGCAGATCGTTCTTCGACTTGGGGAGTCGTGTGTGCTTTGCACTACTAAATTTAGCTGCTAGCAAGAGTCTTTCCCTATGCAGCAGCTCATTCTTCAGGTCGGGAGGTGTGCATGTATGTGCTTTGTCTTACTGAGTAAGTTGCTTATGAGTGCCTGTCATTGTGCAGCGGCTGGATCTTCAGCTCAGCTCCTTCAGAGAACATGTCTCCAGCATCTAAGAGCAGAGAATACTGCTCATTTTGTCCTAATTTTGAAACCTAATTTTATATACTGCCTTTCTTGAAAACTTTTTGCCTCTCATCCAAGATGCTTGTGAAGTGGCTGTTTTGTTTCACCAATGTACAAATCGGTGCATTCCTGGCTGCACTGAATTGCATACACTACATTACTCTGCTGATGTCTGGGTGTTTTGTCCTTGGGGTGGACAAGCTTCTGTCTCAGTGTGTTACTGGATTTAAAGTGCACAGGGATGTGGTGTCTGAAAATCCTCCTGAGTTTCTCAGTTACTCCTGCAACATAAGGAATGACAATGTTGTTACATTTTTGTGTCTCTTCCTCTCTGTCTGCTCTGGGTCTTTTAGAGGTTTTTGCAAAGGCCCAGTTAGGGTAGCCACAGGTTTTGAGTGCTTCCCTGATGTGTTTCTGTTCCTTCACCTTCCCCTCTGTCCTGGTCGGCCCAATGATTCAGTGTCCTGATGACTCCCAACTTGTGCTCCAGTGGGTGCTGAGATTCAAACAGCAGGTATTGGTCCATGTGTGCTGGTTTTCTGTACACCTCAATGTTTAGGTTTCTGTCCTCTTTAATGTGTACTGCACAGTCTAAGAGGGGTAAACTGTGTCCTCTGACATCCTCCCATGTGAATTTGATATTAGGGTCCACTGCATTAATGTGCTCCGTGAAGGTTTCCAATTCCTTAGTTTCAATTTTGACACAGGTGTCATCCACATATCTGAACCAGTGGCTAGGAGCAGTTCCTGTGAAGGTGGTTAGAGCTCTCTTCTTGACGTCTTCCATGTAAAGGTTGGCCACTACAGGGGACACCGGTGAGCCCATAGCACAGCCGTGCTTTTGTCGGTAGAAACCCTTGCTGTACTTGAAGTAGGTGGTGGTCAAACAGAGATCCAGCAGGTCACAAATGTAGTCTGGGGTGAATCTGGTCCTGATAGGAAGGAAGCTGTCTTGTAGCAGACATTTCCTCACTGTCTTATCTGCTTCTTTGGTAGGAATGCAAGTGAAAAGTGAAGTGACGTCGTATGATACCATAGTTCCAGTGTTACCTCTTTGGTCTTGTTGGTAAAATCCTGAGAGTTCTGTACATGGTGTGGAGTGTTACCAACCAGGGCAGCTAGGATCATAGCTAGGTGTTTGGGGAGGTTGTACGTGACTGAGTTGATGCTGCTGATTATGAGTCTTAGTGGTGCTCCTTCCTTATGTATCTTGGGGAGTCCATAGATGCATGGGATGGCCTCACCAGGGTAAAGTTGATAATACAGTGGTCTGTCAATGACTTAGTCATTTTCCAGTTTTTGTAGATAATCTATGGCCTTCTTTTTGTAGCCACTGGTAGAATCATGCCACAGTGTCTCGTGTGTGGCTGTGTCGCTGAGGAGAAGGAAACGTCTTCAAGAAATGCAACCAAGTCCAGTTGCCTACAATATAGCACTATAGCACTTGCCATGACCTGGATGACTGAGAATCTTCAGCTACAAAATTTTTAATTATTCAGCTTTGGCTGGGTGGTTAATAATACATTTTTATGTGGTGTGACAAACTCATTACACCTTTATTTTTGCTTTGACCAGACATTAATGAAAGTATCTGTTGATCAAGTTTTCATGCTGTTTGAAAATTACCTAGCAGCCCTCAGGTGTCCTCAGAGTGTGCTGTCTTGCTGCTATCAGAGCACACTGGCTTTTCTAAAGAGTAAAGTTCACGACCTGTGAAATGGCAGAGCCATAAACCACTGTCACACAACACACTCAGTGACTACTTAATGACTTATTAATGCAGCACTGATGCGCCCCCTGCTGTGCGAGCTGGTTTTTTATGGCGAGTGTGGAATATAACCAGCAGCGTAACGATATTTTACTGCAGCAAACTTTTACACCTGACCGTCCCTGAAGACACATAGAGCCTGCGGAGAGAGTCAGTCAGCAGTTTGTACTCCGAAAATACAGAAAGAACTCAGAAATATGAGATGTGGAGACACAGCAGCAGCTCATTTAAAGCACAACCTGGGTTTATTTGGAAGATGAGAACACAGACACACTGAGGACATTAAACAGGGGGTCGTGTGAACATTCACACCTCAAGTGTGAAGATTCACATATAAAGACAACAATAGAACATTTTTTAGCTCACTGCAAATCTGACATAGTTAAAGGAATACACCACCTCCCTAATGACCATTTGTATATCAATTATGCACCTCGTGTTACCTTGAATTCATGAAGAAAACTTTGTCCATCTCACATGCCTCCTCAGTGAACCAAGAATCAAAAACAGTGAAAGTGAATTTAAGTCATAGGTGTCCACATATAACAACAACAAAACTATATCAAACATCAATTTACAAACTCCCACACAACTTGTGCAAGTATAATCCAAGACTCATTTATCGTATGCTCAGTATTTCACAGACGGCCCTTTTTGATAGAGAACCGCCGAAAATTAATCTTATCTATGCTCTCTTCAAAGCCAGACTCCACTGACAAAAACAATAATTTCAGCTCACTGAATATAGGAGCTGCTGGTCTACCACTGCCTCGATCAGTTTGTTTGTTTGTATTATTGTGTGACTTTGGTGGATCTCTAGTTAGACTAGCGATTATTATGGCCTAAAGAGTTCATGATAATGATATCATTGTGATATCTACAGAAAATTTGAAAAAAATAAAAAAATAAATGCTTTCAGTCATATTCATCTTAAACTTTGTTTGTTGTGTGTTTTGTTTATTGACACAAATGAATTACACTCAAAATACTAGTGCAGGGAGGTTCAAAGAGAGTCTGTAACCATAACTGTACAATGAGCAATTACACTTGATGAATGGTGAGAGGGCAACGAACAACAAAGCGAGAGCAGAAACAAACAGGAATGATTAAAGAGGGGCTGCATTATTTACACAATAATGGGACAACTTTGCCCTCAGCGGGCGATGTCGATTCCTGTCGGAACTGACGGGGGCAGTATACACGCGTCAGTCTGTGCCGAGGACGAGCACCGAAGAACACCTGTTCTCCATTGTCTTTGCTAGAAGCAATGGCTTCTACAAGTGCTAGAGCTTAGATCTGGCCCAAAAAATCCAGCCTGACCCCACCCAAGCCCGTGCATGTTCTGTCAGAGCCCGGCCCGGCCCTTTAACTGTAATTATGAGCCCGAGCCCGGTTTAAACCCGACATTGAAGGCTGAGTCTCGTCTTTTTTTCCATGGCAAGCCTTCGTCATGTGCCTCTTAAGTGTTGAGGTCCCCGTCATCGCGCTGCACTTGGTACACTCGACGAAGCCGACACACACGTTGTCACCATCGATCACTCACATGTGCGCGGCCAATGGCCATCAGCGTCAGAGAATCGTGGAAATTCTCTGGTATCGGTATCGGCTACTGAAATACGGGTATTGTGAGAAGCCTAGTGAGATATAATGTAAGATATAATGGTTATCATCAACACCAAAATATTGGAACACCCCTAATCCCAACAAATCTTTTAAAACATCAAAGTCACACAAAAACACAAACAAACTGATCAAGGAGATGGTAGACCAGCAGCTTCTGTGCTCAGTCAATGGAGTTTGGTTCTGATGAGAGCATATATAAGTTGCACTTTTGGTTCAGTTGCCTGTCACAAAGGGCTGTCTGTTTTGAAGTACAGAACATACCACTGGATAAATGACACTTGCATTATACTTCACATGTTGTATGAGAGCTTGTAAATTGATGTTTTGATATAGTTTTGCTGTTGTTAAACCTGAACCCCAATAACTTAAATCCATCAAAAAATGTATCTGTTTTTTAGAGTCTTTGTTTACTACAGAGGCATAGAAGAAAAAAAGTTTTCTTCAAGAATTCAATACAATACAGGGTGAGTAACTGATATACAAATGGTCATTTTGTGGCTGAAGTGTTCCTTTAATGAGAGTCTACAGTCATGCTAGGAGATGAGAGAAGGTGCACTGAGGCACAGTGGTGCTGTGAGCTAAAACATCAGCATGCTAACATGCTAACAATGACAATGCTAACATGCTGATGTTTAGCAGGTATTATATTCGCCATGTTTACCATTGTAGTTTAGAATATTAGCATGCTTACATCTGCTAATTAGCACTAAAAACAAAGCCAAGGCTGAGGGGAATGACAGTAGTTCTGCAGGTTTTGGTTGTTCATGTTTGTTCTGCTTAGTACCAGTGATTTTTCAAGTATTGTTGGTCAAAGATTTGATATTTAGCAGGTAATGGTGCCAAGTCTGCGCTTAACACGGTGGAGGACTTCATCTTTACTCAAAACGTACCTGTAGAAGTGAGCTTTGATACGTTCCTTAATCAGCCATAAAGGATGATGAGATTGGTTGTGGAGGTTACGTCCAACTTTGGCCAAGATCTTTGGTGTGACATTGGTGAAGTCATCGCGAGGATAAGAGCTGCCCAACACCTCCACCGAGTCCTGTCCAATCACATGCTGTGGGGCGGGTCCATCTGTGCTGAGGCGTCTGCACGATGCTGCCCTGCCACTGGCTAAGAGGGTTGACAGGCAGCAGTGGTGGAGCCGAGGGAGGGGCGGGGACTGAAGGAGGGGGAGGAGTGAGGACACAGAGGTGTTGCAAAGTCTCATGATGACTGGTCCATGGAGCTGCAGAGAGAGAGAGACATTAGAAGTTATAATAGCATTAGCATTAGGATGTGCCTGCGGGATAGAAACCCACAGACATGAAGGGGAGAACAAAGACAGAGGATTTTTTAAAGATTTCACATTTCTGTTTTGTTGAACATTAATTGTTGTTACATTTTCGTTTGTAAGGTCTTGACATGTTGTTATAACTGTAATAAATGTTGGGTAACATTAGTCATGTGAGTGTGTGACTGTCCCAGGTGCAGCAGTAGTGTCATGACAAACAGAGAGAGGAGCTAAGTGAATCAATATGCTGCATGCAGCGCTACAATGAAATGAGATTTTACCTGTTTAAAATAGCCAAATTTGAGTAGAAAAGTTGCAGTGAATGGACAGAATTGCACATTTGTGCAGAATGCACAGGGATTGGCTGAATTTGCATTACTTGTTGTGAGTGCAACATTCCAGAGAGACTGTAATATTCTCTCTTTTAACCCTGTTTTTGGTCTCCACCAACTCCTGAGGAAAATATTTGTCTCTTTAGCTGCTAAATGCTCCACCATGTTCGACAGCTAGTCTCTGACTGTGTCTGTCTGCGGTTTGCTGCTGAGCAAAGACCAATGTCAGTGCTCGTCGATCAGTCAAAGAGGCTCAGATTCATCATTTCGGTTGGACAGCGGAGAGGGAAATGAGCAGGGTGTGAGTCGGAGAGGATCATAAAAACAAAACACAGCAGCTTCTCAGTGGAGGTCAGACGAGGTGACAGCTACTAATTAGCTTATAATTGCAGAAATGGGCAAAACATCAAAAGGTTAGTAGACGCGCTTTGTTTCATGTTTTCCTCCCTGTCCTTTTCTTTCTTTCTTTCCATCATTCAACCTGTGACAGAAGACAAGACAGTCACCCTTTTATCTGTCCCACTCAAATATTTATCCACACACACACACATGCGCACACACACACACACACACACACACACACACACACACACACACCTGAACAAGACAAAGGGGTGTTGCATTGCAGTGGCATTGCAGCAAAATGGATTATTGTTCCTAAATCCATGAAGCTTTTACCTCGGCTCTGCTGCTGGTGTCATATTATACTGGACTGGACAGGGCAGTGCTGAGGTCACACACATACACACACACATACACACATACACATACACACATAATACAAAACTGGTTCTTGGGTAATGGGACATCTGAAGGTCATTCTGACTTTAACAGGAACATAAAAGTAAAGTATGTAGAGGCATAATTTGAGCTGACAGCAGTAAAAGCACAGACAATGACCCCTACAGGCTACAATGATCTTTACACCCCACAATATGTTGATAGTTGGAAAGACGGACTCAAGATTTTTTTTTTTTGTGAAATCCAAAACTTCTTTCTCTGAAAAGCATTAATATGTTCAGTAAAGGTCACGGCAACTCTGCCATTATTTGTCTTGTGTACAGAGTTTATAATTTGTCCGAAGACCGGCTCTAAAGCAAAGGTCATGTAAAGTCCTCTGCAGAGCACTGATGTGTTAACAGGGTTTCCTGCAGTGGAGGCGGGACACATCGCCTGAAACCAACACCACCTCTGCTAACAGCATAAAAATGATTACACTATATAAGGTATAACATCAACCACTATACCTACTACACTTACTACTTTATAATGGTTAGAAAAGAGGAGCAGGACATCTCTTCATGTAACAACTAAAGTGACTTTTACTTCCTGTATGGCAACAACCTTGTACATCTGAATCACCCAGAGAGCACACTTTGTGCTGATAACTATTGACGTGTTGTAAGCAGTTGTATGTCAACAATGTAATCTTACATCATGTGACTGTTCAAACCAAGTCCATGGATATAACACACTGGGGGGGGGGGGGGGTTATTTAATGAGTGTCACTTTTAGCCATCTTTTTGTTCTTTCAGTAGAATTTTCCATCAGAGCTAGAAGGGTTTCACACTTACAGATTTATAGATTTTAGAAATCAATCTATGGAGTCCCACAGGGAAGCGTTTTGTGTCCCCTTATTTTTCTAACACGTGAATAACTTTATCCTACTTGTGGTGACATTTTAATTGTAAGCTAATAATTCTGGTCACAAGTAACATCTTACAGTTATTCTTAAGATGTTTGACTTTGAGCAGTTTTATTGATAATGATTTAAGTATTAATTGTGTGAATTTAATCGCAGTATAATGTTGTTCAGTCATCTGACCTTTATCTTTATATCAAGGACCACAATGGGCCTCCAATTTGTGTAAATGTGTGTGACTCTGGCTCAATCCAAATACACCCCTTGCCCCTCCCACTCCTGAGGACCTGGAGGACCCTGATACACCAAGCCACCGGTCAGCCAAAGTTCATCCTCTGGGGAACATGAATATCCACAGCCGATTTAACTGAAACAAAGCAAGTTGTTAAGATTCCTAATTGACAACCTAACCAACATTTACATTACTGTCAGTAACTTATTTCAATGTCATTTATTTATTTTTCAAAATGCCAATGACTTTACATATGAAAGAATAATTATCCAAAAAACATACATACACCATACACCGTATTCCCAAATATGCTCCGATTTTCATTTAGGGGCAAACAACAACTAATTAATCGCCAACCAAACAGAAAGGTCTTTGAATAAATATTTCATGATATTTTTTGTTGCAGATAGCATTTCATGCGTCAAGATACACACAGGATTATGTATGTAATTTTTAGATTGATCATTTTACATATAAAAAAATGTCAGAAAACAGTATAAAAACATCCATAACACTTTACCAGGGTCCAAGGTAACATCTTGAAATATGTCTTTGTGTCTGACAAAGAGTTCAAAGTTCAAAGATGTTCAATTCATATTTAAGCAAATCAGAGAAAAGCAGCTGTTGTTAAAGAAGGTTTGTCATTTTTACCTTTGTTTGTCGCATCATTTCAGCTCTAAACAGTCTTGTACGTCTGATCAACCACCATCAGGATTAAAACTTTGATGACCAAATCTTCAATAATAATTCAAAACCCATGCAGCCGTCACAGTGCAGTGACAGACTCTGTGGACCTGAGAAATGTCTGATGGTCTGGAAAAGGTGAAGAAGCCCTTCATCTTACATGATGAGAAAAGGTCATGTGACATTTCCAGATAATATATAGTTTGACCTGCCGTGGTGTACGTGATCCTGCAGTGTTGTGCAGCTTGGTGAAGGTTCAGACCGATTTAAAAGACACTAATTGAAATATAAAAAAAATAAAATATCTCATCTCCATCTCAGCTCCTCGTTTCATCTCATTGGGAGTGACTTCTTCCCAGCATGTAATCATCACCATATGTCTGTTCCCATGGTACCAAACACCACCACACATGCACATATGGACGCCAACGCACACGGACACACATGTTCAGTAAATACACACATAGTGTATGTCTGATAAACTGCAGAGAACTGGAGCTCAACAAAGATGGAGACACAAAGTGAAAACCTCCATTGCTGGCATATGATCCAACACGTAACAATAATCTGGATTCATATGTGTTTGTTGGTTTTAAGTATCTTTGAAAATGTAAAAATTTCAGGCAAAATTAAACACATTTGGATTTCTGCAAAACTGCAAAATGATACCAAACCAGTGCAGCAAACTGACCAACAACTCACAAGAACTTTAAGCTGGTTCTTGTTAAATATGAACTTGCAAACACTGACAGTGTCACATCATTAAACAGATCTATTTTGAAACAGTGATTTGTAACAGACAATTGATGTTGTCTAGTTGATCGGGCCATCAGATCAGAGCACATATATTTTGATACTTAATTTGGAGGACTTGTTGGTCTTTTAAAGGTCCAGTGTGAAAGATTCGGGGGAATTTAGTGGCATCTAGTGGTGAGGATTTGCAGATTGCAGCCACCTTTGGACTACTCAGCTCCCAGTGACAACTTACTGAACAATGAACACTGAGGGAATTCTAACTAGGAGAAGTTTCAGCTGGTTGCAATATGAATTCCTCACCACTAGAAGCCACTAAATCTCCCAAAATCTTACACAATGAATCTTTAAGATCCAAAGGTTCAAGAGGTTTTTACCAGGGGGCCTAATTTTTCACAGAGGCCTCTTCCTCTCCAAAACAAACAGCCCAGGTGATTTAAACTGATAAATGCACTGAATAAAGCAGTTTCGTCTTTACAAAAATAAATACATTAAAAAAAAAAAACAGTGTTTTTTCAACTCTCCTGTTGTGTAGTTGCTAACTACAGTGGCCAACGCAAGAATGTGAAAATGCGAATGGCCCTTTCTAAAGCCAGTGATTGGTTCATCTCATAGGCTGTATAAAAAGAAGGACAGCATGACAGCTCCCCAAAAGTGAAGCCAAAACATCTTCATCACCCCCTGGTGGCTGGCTGTAGTATGTGATATAATGGGACACGGGCCAAACTAAAAACTACAACTATAAGTACATGCCATTTCAGGGAGTTTTTAATCACATTGATGTTTGTTCAAGTGTTTCTGATAAGTTTGGTTTTAATTAGTAATTTGATGTTAAAAAAGGGAGATACAGGTCATGATTGACAGCTGTGTGTGCCAATTGGTATCAGTGGCGCTGGTCGTGACTGGTTGGACAGGTGTACAGATGGAAACTCAATACCAGCAGTGATTGCATCTGCGCAAACTCTGGCTCCAAATGATGTCACCACTGCGCCAGATGGCAGGAGAAGCATCAGGATATTTTGGCTTCATTTTTGTATAGAATGGGTAAGTGGAGATGTGTTGTCCATCTTAATATATTGGCTCTTTTGCCAATATCCAATATGCCGATATATAACAACTCATTTGACCAATAACCGATACTGATATCAATGTATCTACCTTTTTCCCTATTATTTCAGTGATCATCAAGTCTCTTCTTCTGACATGCAGATACTATTGTGCATCCCTAATACAGTCCATGGTTTTTCCATTCTGGGCTACTGTAGAAACATGTTGGTGCAACATGGAGCTCCATAGACGAGGACCCGCTCCC